ATGGATATAAAAGGGCAATATTTCTAGTATCCAAAATTAGCAGAGTCATATTCAAATCCTTGCCCGTTTCCATCTGTGAAGAATCCGTTGAAGACACCTGAGCTGTTGCTAACTATTTCAGTGGCTTTTTATTTCACCTTCCTCAACCTGAGATGCTGTTCACTGTGGCCACCTCATTCCCAGGTTTCAGGGTCTGCAGTACAAGAAGAACCAATTGTACTTACAGTTTCCAGTGTTTTGTCTGAGACTGAGATATTTTCCTGTTGCAAACACACACTGTGTTTTAGAATCACAAGATCCTAGAAGGGACTTAGGAGTAAGAAGGTCTTGGTTCCAGTCAATGATCTGCCTCTCAACAGCATGCCGCCTGGGTGAGCCCCGCAAGCCTCTGAGCCCCTCTCCTCACCGGGACATGGGGATACTGAAGCCTGACCCACCACCCGCTTCCAGGGTCCCCTGAACATGAGCTGATCTGCAGAAGAAATGAACGCAACATAGATATCATTATTAGCTAGTTCGCTGATTCTCAGACTCTCCTTATCCCCGGGGTGCCTTGTGGGCCATCTCAGGGGTGAAGGAGCCAGCCGGTTGAGCTATCCTACACCCACAACCCCAGAAGCCGAGCTTTTATCTGCTGTTCATAAGGGTTCTCTATGTGTTGAATCAGGTTTAGCCTAAAGCTGCCTCCCTACATATTTTAAGTTCAGCCCAAAGGTTTCTCTGTGCACAGTGAAAAGCAACCCAACTGGAAAGGTAAACAGATATAACCCACTCTGCCAATCATTGAGTTTCAGCCAATCAGACACGGCCAACTGTGCAAACTGTGTTCAAATCAGGCAAACGCGGAGCTGTAACCAATATGGCTGTTTCTGCGCCTCCCCCTGTTTTCTGTACCTCACTTTCCTTTTTCTGGCATAAATCCTCTTCAACCACTGGCAGTGCTGCAGTCGTTCTGAACCTATTCCAGCTGGGGGAGCTGCCTAATTTACAAATCACTCATTGTCCAATTAAGCTTTGTTAAATTTAATTTATCTAAATTTAATTTTCTTTTGTGTGTGTGTGTGTGACAGGTTCAGTGAGAACCTGTTGCCCAGGCTGGAGTGCAGTGACATGATCATAGCTCACTGCAGCCTGGACCTCCTGGGCTCAGGCGATCCTCCTACCTCACACCTCAGCCTCCTGGGAAACCGCACGTTCCTATCACCATACCTGGCTAATTTTTATACTTTTTGTAGAGATGGGGTTTTGCCATATTGCCCAGGCTGGTCTCGAACTCCTGGGTTCAAGTGATCCTCCTGCCTTGGCCTCCCAAAGTGCTGGGATGACAGGTGTGAAATTTTTTCTTTGTACATATGAAACCCTTAGCATTTATAATTCATTTTAAAGAATCCCCTTCACTTAAGGGAGCGTTTTTAAAAATCACTGATAGTATTTCATCTTCTCATTTTACACACAGGAAAACTGAGGCCCAGAGACGTTAAGCCATCTGCCCCAGGGACACACAATGGCAGAGCTGAGAAGGCTATTTCTGATATTCTTGCTTCAGTGCTCTGTCCACTCTTTTATTGTTGGTCAGGCAGATGCTGGAATGTTCCATGAATATAACCAAGAGAAAACAACTCTTAAGTTCCTACCCCGTGGTGTAGATAAGCCCCTTGCAAAGGAAGAGCAATGTGGTTTGTAAATCACAGTTTGCTCCCAGGACTGTGCAGTGAGTCTGGAAGGCGTGGGGGTGGTGCTGCGGGGCTCACATGGTGGCCATGTGGGGAAGACCGGACAGACACATGGTGAGGACACGCTGTCCATCACGCCAGCTCCAATCTCCGCGGCACACATACCAGCTGCCTTGCAAACAAACTGCACAAATAACCCCCTCCCCACTCCATCTCTTGCATACTTTAGGCCTTGATTCAAGCAGATGTGTTTCCTCTTTTAAAAATAAAAGAGGCATTAATTATCACCAGCCTTCTCCTTCCCATCCTCCATCCCCCAAGGACTCAAATTCCTCCTGCCGGCAAACTCGGCTCCCCTGGGTTCAAAACTACAGTTCAAACTCCAGATTATCATCTGGTAGAACATTTGGAAAATCACCTCATTCAGAAACAATTAAGGTTTTACAAGATAATATGTGTTGTTGAAAACATCCCATTATTTTTAAGTAGGGAAAATTCCAGAAATTCTATTTATTAATCTCTCCTATCTGATAGTTCTTGTTTTCTATGTGAGGAAAAGTCTTCTTCTTGGAATATTTAAGAGAAAATATGCATGAGAAATATGTCAAGTCATTGCATGGATATCTACTAATGTCTGAGAAACGGCCCTTGACCTAGAGTTGCTTCCAAGTTTGTTGGTCAGGTATGGTACAATACAAAGCTGGATATTTCCGTAAGTCTTTCAAAAATAAAATTTTTATTTTTGTACATTATATGTACATATGTATGTGTATGTGTCTGTGCATTTGGTGTGTGCATGTGCATATATATGTGTGAGCATACTTGCATATGCATATGTATGTATACATGTGTGTGCATATGCATGCGTGGACATGCATGGACATGCGTGTGTGTGTGTGTTGTGTGTGTACCATGTGTATACCATAAGTTCTGATTGCTGCTAAGGACCAGAGGCCGTCACTGGCTAGAACAGAAGGAAGAGTGTGGCCCCGGGAGGCAATGGCACCTGGGGGTAGATGGGGAAGTACAGACAAGGGTATCCCTTGACAAGGAAATAAGTGAACTGAGGCACAAAGGCAGGAGGACCAAGAGGCTGCAAGATCCAGGGGAGACCACATGTGAGTTAATCTACAACAGATTCCTGCATCCAAACCGGAACTAGAGCTTTGGCTAATGTCAACCATAGGCTGAACAGTAGAAAAACATTGAGAATCACAGTGGCACGCGGGGGATTGGCCTTGCCAGAGAGCCTGTCTTCACTGCCCAGTAACATGCACACGATTTACCACCTATGCGGATGAGGCAGGGCCCACTGTTGCCACTTCCAAAGTTCCCAAAAAGAGCCCCCCACCCTCCAGTCATGTGAAGTGGGACTGCACCAGCTGAAGAGGCACAGGCTGATCCCCTTTAAATAATGACGTGATTGTACCTCCCATTCTGCAGAGGAGGAAGTGAGGCTTGGAGAGGGGAGATAACTTGAGCCGGAGGTCACTCAGCTAAAACAGATACTGAAGCAAGCCCCTGCAGCCCATGCTGAGGGCATCTGTTCTGCGTTCTCCCTCTGCCCTGGGTCAGTGCCCATCCAGCCCTCAGCACGGCCTGGACCACCAGTGTCAGCTGTTGGCAGTGTCTCCTGGCTACTGCGAACCTCAGAGGTGCACCACAGGTAGCTCATGTTGATGAGCTCTGTAAATACACTCTCCATTGTCTGAATATATAGAGGTTTGAAAGACCTTAATTCCATGAGTACGTTTTGCTTTCTCTGGAACATTTCTTCACAGCATGATATGCTGGAGCTCCAGAGAAAGGGCAGGGGCCAGGCCTCAGGGCCTCTGTTTCCTCCTCCTCTAGTGAGTGGTGTGCTAAGGAGGCAAACACAGAGACGGGGGGTAGAGTAGGGAGAGCGAACGGCGTGGAGGATCACCCACTCAAAGAACCGAGGTTCAGGCCGGGCCAGGAACTCTGCATCCCAGTGCCGTGCTGACCAGTGCACCCTGAGGGTCTGCAGAAGCACACAGCAGCGCGCCCTGGGGAGTGAGGCCGGGTCTTCCTCAGGAAACAGCAGGCCCCAGAGCCACAGGTTGTTTCCTGGAAACCCGCCCCTAAGTGGACTGCCCTTCGCTCCTGCCAGGCCCGGCTCCCTGACAAGTGGATTGCTGTGAAGAGACATTTATTAGAAATGATGGTGAAAATCCACTAAGGAACATCAGGGCTGCTTCTGCCTCACAGGTCTCCAGCATGCACAGAAAGTAAAGGTCTGATGCTTGGCCACTGCCAAAGGTGATCAGGTGGGACCAGGTGTCCAGAGGCCTCCTAGAACGGCTTCTGGAGGGGAGAAGGAGGAAGGACGGAGGGGGCAGCCCCTGCCCAGCAGGGCATCTCAGTCCAACCGCAGGGACTTGCCTCTTCCTTACCTTTTAATCTTAAAGATCCTAGAAAGAGATTTTCAATTTTCCTTCCTCAACAGATATGGAATGGCAGTCTGAAGCTGCTTAAAAAAAAAAAAAAAAAAAGACATGGGAGGTGGGGTGGGGGCAGGGAGGTGCCAAGCACAGCCAGCTGCCTCAGTAGCTCCTTTGTTCTGCAAGGAGCCTCAGGGGTTGCAAAGGGCCCCACATCACTGAAGGCCCGGGCTGAGACAGAGATGGAGCCCCCACACACCACAGCACTGGCTGTGCACAGCCGCCCTCCTTTGATCACAGGTGTGTGATCCGGCTGTCGTTCCACTTCAGTGACCACACAGAGCCTCTCTAGGAAGGAGACTTGACTCAGGGACTGTGACAAAGGACTGAGTGTCAGAGCCAGCTTTGTGGCCCAACACCGAAGGGATCCTCTTACTCACTGGGAGGATTGCTTTCCTTTGCCATTCATAAGGACCGTGAAGACATGCGTGGTTGAAAGGACGCATGGGGAGCTCTGAGATGGGACCCACCATGGGGGCCCGCTGGTTGGTGATGGGAGGGCATTGGGAGCTCGGGTGCGTCTGGATGCTCTTCAGCTGGGCACATCATTACTTTTGTTTTGTTTTGTTTTGTTTTGTTTGAGACAGAGTCTCGCTCTTGCCACCCAGGCTGGAGTGTAGTGGTGTGATCTCAGCTCACTGCAATCTCCGCCTCCCGGGTTCAAGTGATTCTCCTGCCGCAGCCTCCTGAGTAGCTGGGATTACAGACGTGCGCCACCACACCCAACTGATTTTTTGTGTATTTTTAGTAGAGACAAGGTTTCACCATGTTGGCCAGCCTGGTCTCGAACTCCTGACCTCAGGTAATTCACCTGCCTCGGCCTCCTAAAGTGCTGGGATTACAGGCGTGGGTCACCATGCCCAGCCACATCATGACTTCTGAAACTGTTCCAGAAGAGAAGGTCCAAGTGGTCTGTTCATTACTCAGAATTATTTCTGGAGCAAATAACAGAGCCCCGCCACCCCACCAAGTAACTGTGACTTAAAATAGAGAGAGGTGGACATCTTTGCTGTTTACAACCCAGTGTTCTGTGAGACTTGGCCCCTGGCTCCCTTCAGCTCACACTTCCCCATCCCTGGGGCATGGTGGTCACGCTGAGCTCAGGATGGTGACAGCGGCAGGAGAAAGGCATGCGTGGAGGTGGGGCACAGGCAGGTGCTGGTTGTCTCCTAAGGAAAACACCCCACAACTGCCCACAACTCTTCTGCTTAAATATATTATTGGCTGGAACTCAGTTTCATGACTTCAACTACCTTCAAGAGAGTCTGCAAAATACAGTCTTTATTTTATTTCAAGACCCATGGTTCTGGCTAAAATATCTAGCACCCTGGAAGAAGTGGAGAAATACCAGCAAGCTCCATCACAGCCTCCTTCACCAGCAGTTTATGCTTGTCACAAATCCTGTCCACAAATAGAGCATCCTGCGCGGCTGCTGAGTTTCTTATCTCTCCCGGAATTGTCTTCCTAAAGCAATTGACTCATGTTCCTCCATGCTTTGAACCCTTCTGTGACTCTCCACTTTGGGAAGGAAGAATTGCAAGTTCCTATCCTGCCTCACAATGGCACAGAAGATTCAGACTGTGTGGTGAAGCTGCCCCACCTCCCCAAGCCACACTCACCCATTTCCTTCTCAGCGAGGCTCCGGCATTCTGCACCTACTACCACCACGGCTCTCATGAGATAATACCACATTGTTAAATTCCAGGAGCAAGTGGCTGCTCGAACAAAGTGTAGACTCACAGGTGAGAAAGACACCGGCTGCCTTGGCTGCAAGACTACTGCATCTTGGAGCTAGATTGTCACAGCTGACCCTGGACCAACAATGTCCCCTCCCCTCTTCCCAGCATCCTGCCACCCTCGCATTACCTTGCTCTCTGGAAGGCAAAGTGGGCGAATTACACAGGCAGCAGGTGGTTAAGTCTGTGTGCACAGTGTCAATGGATGTGGCAGGTTGACACAGCAGATGCTTGCAGTCTGGGGACCAGGAAAAAGGAGGTTGCACCCTGACAGTTAGGAAACCATGGTCATCCTGATGAGACAAAAGAGGATGGTCCGTGTTGTCAGAAAAGGGGCATTTGTGGCAATTGCGTGGCTTTGCTTCTGCGTGAATAAGTGTTCTAAAAGTAGATTTTGTCCTTCAGATGCAAAAGAACGTGGACGAAGGGACCTCATAGCATAGACCAGAGAGTTCAGCCAGGGCATCGCTTCCATAAGCACCGCAGGTCAGTCGTGGTCCTTTCTCTTCTGCTGACAAGGTGAGCACGTCACCTAGCGCCCCGCGTTATTTTCAGAACAGGCTCCTTCCATGAGGCTGACTTGGGTTGCCGCAGGTTCTGCAGCACGTGTTCACGCTGCTGCCGCGGGGCCCTGCCTCTAAAGCAAGTCAAGCTGGACTTAACTGAACTGGCTTGGGCTCAAAACAAAGCATTGACAGATGGAAAGCTCTAAATGTCATGGCTGTTACCTCTCCCCCCACCCCAGAGCCATCGCTGCTCAGAGCCATTTCCTGAGATTCTTTTTTTTTTTTTTTTTTTTTTTTTGAGACGGAGTCTCGCTCTGTCGCCCAGGCTGGAGTGCAGTGGCCGGATCTCAGCTCACTGCAAGCTCCGCCTCCCGGGTTCACGCCATTCTCCTGCCTCAGCCTCCCCAGTAGCTGGGACTACAGGCGCCCGCCACCTCGCCCGGCTAGTTTTATGTATTTCTTAATAGAGACGAGGTTTCACCGTGTTAGCCAGGATGGTCTCGATCTCCTGACCTCGTGATCCGCCCGTCTCGGCCTCCCAAAGTGCTGGGATTACAGGCGTGAGCCACCGCGCCCGGCCCATTTCCTGAGATTCTTAACGCAAGTCACAAGCCTGTTCTGGTCCCCGCTCAGCAAGTGTCTGGGGACAGGCTTCTTCCCATCAGAGGCCCGCCTAGGCTCTGAGGATAAAGCGGTGAACGGAATGCCAGAACTTCTCACACGGGGGTCCTCACGGAGGAGCAATCAGCCACGCCTCTGCAGGTGACGGGCCCAAAGCGGAGCCTCCCGCAAATTCTAGAGACAGAAAGTGGAGTCAGGGCTGCCTGAACTTGGGAGCCCAGTGTGATTATGAGGACAGAGGGTGTGGCTGCTAATGGGGATGGGATTTTCCTTTAGGGATACACAAATGTTTTTTTTCTTTTTGAGACGGAGTCTCACTCTGTTGCCCGGGCTGGAGTGCAGTGGCCGGATCTCAGCTCACTGCAAGCTCCGCCTCCCGGGTTCACGCCATTCTCCTGCCTCAGCCTCCCGAGTAGCTGGGACTACAGGTGCCCGCCACTATGCCCGGCTAGTTTTTTGTATTTTTAGTAGAGACGGGGTTTCACCGTGTTAGCCAGGATGGTCTCGATCTCCTGACCTCGTGATCCACCCGTCTCGGCCTCCCAAAGTGCTGGGATTACAGGCTTGAGCCACCGTGCCCGGCCACACAAATGTTTTAAAATTGGATCGTGGCAGTGGTCACACAACTCTATGAATTCACTAAAAAGCACTTCAAATGGGTGAATTATGTGGTATGTGAATTATATTTCAACTACACTTTTTTTTTTTTTTCCAGGAAAGCCTAACGTAATTTCTTGACTGCTACATCTCCATTCACACGCCCTTCAATCATCCACACTTTTGTGTACGTGGGATGTTGTCAGAACCCCAAACTGCTGGACCTCGCATCCTGACACGGCAATCTTGACAGGTGACATCCCATCTGCTCGTGACAACAGCTCATCCAGACTTCAGGGTAGGTCCCTGGCTCAGTCCTCCATCCAATCCTCACTCCCTCACCCAGACTGAAAGCCCAAGCAGATCTTTCCAGCCAGCAGTGGCAACCTGGTTCCCTCTGCCAGCGGCCCTGAACACCCCGGCAGCCTCTCTACCTCCGCTTCTCCTTCAGTCCTTCTCCCCTCCCTCCACGTCCTGCTTAGAGCATGTGGCTTGCAGGATGCTATTGGTCTGCGGTTTCTTGGAAGGGCCACACTGTTTCACTGTTTTCCTGTCTCTGCCCTGACTCACCAAGGTCCCTCTGCTGGGATAACTTCTCCCACACCACCTTGTCTGAATTGTTCACCGCTTCTTCAAAGACTTCCCCTCTCTCACAAGTGCAGCCTCTCCCGACAAAAGTGCAGAGCCCTGGAGCCCTGGGAATCTGTAGCCTCCATAGACCCGGGATCTCTCTCAAGTCTCCATCTGCAGGAACACTGGCTCCGGCGGGAGGAGAGCTGATGATTCTGTCCCCCAGTGGGAGGGGCAGGAAGTGGGGAAGGCTGGGTTCCTCCACCCCAGATTGTAGTTTGTTTTCTCCCAAAGTGTTGAGAATCAAGCACATCTTTTACCTCAGAAATTAATTTCCTTCGGAAAACCCCCATCTAATCTAAGCAAGGCATCCTTACTCCTCCCATATAACTCACTTTGACTTTACTTCTTGTGAGTTAATCATCCCGGACCCCACAGGGTCCCCGCCTGGATTCCATTTCCCAGCTCTCCCACATTGACCAACAATGATGTTTTCCCCAATCATCTCTCCCTGATCTCTAGGATTCTGCCCTGGCCGTGGTGTGGGATATAATGGGGTTTCTCTTCAAATAATCTGATCATCTTTTATTCTTTAATTCCTACTACCCGGCCCCCCCTTTTCTTCTTTTTCTCCTTTTTCCTCTTTGCCTTTGTTAGATGCCTAGGCACGCCTCAGTACCAAACGTTATCAGTACCAACTTACATTCCTTTCCTTATTTAAAAAAAAAAAACACTTTCTAGCTCATTACAGACACCCCCTTCCCCTTTCTTTCCACTTTCTTTTACGTACGCACCCTATCTAAAAAAATCAAACGTTTAGCTAACTGAGATTAGTTTAGATTGTACGACCCAAACCCAGCCAATAAGGGTACAGGGGCAGAACTTGTGTCAAAAATAAAGGCTCTCGTGCCCTTTGTTCAAGTGTACTCTCATGGCAACTGGCCAAAGAGATACCCCTCTGCTCAAAAGTAAAATTGCGGCCGGGCGCGGTGGCTCACGCCTGTAATCCCAGCACTTTGGGAGGCCGAGGCGGGCGGATCACAAGGTCATGAGATCAAGACCACGGTGAAACCCCGTCTCTACTAAAAATACAAAAAATTAGCCGGGCGCGGTGGCGGGCGCCTGTAGTCCCAGCTACTCAGGAGGCTGAGGCAGGAGAATGGCGTGAACCCGGGAGGCGGAGCTTGCAGTGAGCTGAGATCCGGCCACTGCACTCCAGCCTGGGCGACAGAGCGAGACTCCGTCTCAAAAAACAAAAACAAAAACAACAACAACAACAAAAAGTAAAATTGCTTTACTAAAAATCTTTTGTTCAAGTGTTCAATTTCCCTAAGATTTTAAGCATTATTCCTGACAATAGGAACTGATGGTGGTAGTGCCAGTATCTTCATATACAAGGAGGGAAGGAAGGAAGATATGAAGGAAGGGCAGGAGAGAGAGACAAGGTGGGGATTTCGTCTCTATGATGTTCATACTTGCTTCTGAAGCCTGTGCGTCGGGGTGTTCTTAGTCATAAAAACTCACATGCTCATTCCTCCATTCGGTGCGTAACAGACAGCGTGAAATCTCAGGTTAGGCTCAGCGATCATTGCACTTTGAACTTTTCCTTCTAGATAAAATTTGCATTTCAGCAAAGGCCTGCAGTGACTCAACTGAAAGACATGACTAGTGAACATTCTGTAATGATAACGGGACCACTGGAGAGGGGGTAGACAGATCTTTCACAGAAAGATCCTTCTCAAATCACAGCATTTGGGGTAATGTATGAGATAGATGTTCTCAAGAAAGCATTGTTTTCTGTGTTTTATATTATCTGCCTTATTAATTGAGTGTTTCCTAGTAAGCACATCTGCAGTTACATCGTTTATCCAATTAATGAAATTGGAAGTAGGTCTTGGAGAGGACGGAGGGGTTGGGGGAGTGGAGGGAAGGCCCTCTCCTGTGCCGAGGTGCTCACAGATCGTCCATGGGTCTCAAGGCCCCTGTTTTAGATGGTGGTAAGATCTGTATACAATCTGCAGAGAGAGTTTCACCCTGGGGAGTTCCCCGAAACATTTGAAAGACATTAACTCCATGGGCTGGCGTTTTTCTTTGCAAATGCCCCCGTAGGAAAATAATAATAATAGTTAAAATGGAGGCCTCACATAGCACATGCCAGGTGCTATACTAAGAGATTCATTTCAATTATGTCACTTGGGTAAGTACGTTGTTATCCCTATTTTACAGATGAGGAAATTGAAACTTAGAAAGATAAAGTACATTTCCCAAAGTCCCCAGCCTTGGTGAGCAGTAGAGGACTGTCTGGGCTTTCCCTCCACTCCCCACGGAGCAGGATGTGGGGAGCAGAGTGAGGGGGCTCCCGGGGTGCACCGCAGATGGGACAGTGGGAAGCAGCGGGATAAACACACGAAGGAAATGGTTTGGGGCTATAGGACGTATCTATAACTCTATGAGAGAATTTCCATAAAAATCACATGAGAATCTGGCTGGGGGCTGTGTGGAGGCTACGTTTAAATGAAGCAAGCTGTGCAGTCCCTGAGCCGAGCTGCGCTGGTGTGTCTGCTCTCCCCAGCAGGGTGGAGCTCAGAAACAGGCCCGAGAGTTCAGAAATCACAGAGCACAATACACATGGAATCATGTTTTTCTTAGCCTTAATGCTTCAACATACGATTTCTTTTCCAGGCAAAGTTCAGCTGTGTCTGGTCTGATTCATTTGTGAAGTCAGAAGGGCATTGTGCTTGGAGCTGGCAAAGCACTCCATCCTGTGTCTCTAAAGGCTGGCTTCCTCCGGTGGCCACGAGGCACCCCTTTCCCAACAGTGGGTGGGATCCAAAGTCAACTCCTACCCAGCGGAGGGAGGCCAGGTAGCTGGGCCCACGAGGGTCTGCTCTTGAGCCTTTCTGTGAGAACCTGGGCCTGGTGTCACCAAGAGGACAGCAGCCCTTTGACTGACGGTCCACTGTGGTCCACGTTAATGGAATCATCCCCAGCTTTAACTTACATCCAACAAGCATCTTAAAATACTGAGATTGCACAGGACACTAGGAATTTATGATAAAAATAAAAATCTTTTACAGGATCTCTAAATGTTGCCTAGAGATGTTTCCCACCTGTGATGGTGGTATTCATAAAGTGGCTCCGACCCCAAGGAGGATGGGAAGTATTCATGAACGTAGCTTCCTGCTTCAGTACGGAAACCTTCAGGCTGATGTGAAGATCGGGGGATGATTCAGGCCCCAATTCCCAGATCTCCAGCTGCGGGGAGGTGCAGCTTCCAGGCTCAGGGAGGCGCGTCTGTCAGTGTCGTCCTGCCCAGGCAGCTCACCTGGACAGCAGCGCAGGCACCGCGCGGGCCGGCCACTGCTCCCTCTGAGCTCATGGCTTCCCGACGAAAGCCACACCACCCTGAGGGCCCTGACTCATGGCTGGGAGAGGAACCGCATCCACCAGCCTTTCCGGCATACAGGGCTGTTCTTTTGCGTTCTGGGAGCTTCGTGGGGCATTACGATGTGATTTAGCACTTTGTTTCAGAAATGACCCATTAATTCCTTTTAAGTCTCATGGAAAGAGGCCAGTGACATGTTCTTGGAAATGCGAATTCATTGGTTTGTGAAGTCAGCTTGTGAGAAAACACCAGATTAACCCATTGCGCCATGCGCACCAACGAAGATATCCCTTTATGGCTACGGGACTGGCCTGAATATGGGCCTGGCTCAGGACTGTCCTCTGGGAAGCCCAGCAGTGAAGCACTTGGCCACTGGATGTCCCCAGACAGAGGCCTGAGCTTCTGAGAGCCAGCAGGCAAAGAGGAAGACCTACTGCTGCCCCGATACCCAAGGAGGGCTGGGTGTCCCATGCTCACAATGTGCTAGAGTGGAGGGAAGAGACTGGCCTTGAGCCTGCCCAGGCTTTCCTCCCGCCCCCCGTTCTTTCACTTCTGCACGTTCATCCTTCCCAGCATCTGCCCTGTAGAAGTGTCAGGGGCTTGCACAGGGTGATTGCCTACTGACCAGTGCTCATTTCCTGAGGAGGAATGACTTGTATTCTCTTGCTTCATTAAACGAGTAATTAATCCAACAAACATTTGCAAACAGCCTGCTCTGTTCCAAACACTATGCCAAGTTCCGGGGCTGCTGAGTACCCTGCTCCTAGCTAGGGGTGCTGGAGTGAAGCTGCAAGGAGAAGGCATTCTGAAAACATCTGTGTCATTTGAGAGGCAGAAGCTGGTGAATGGAAACACCGCCAGGAGAAAGCTGGACAAAATGACCAACTCTGTCTTTCTGGGGCAGAAAGTCCGTTTGCACCAGACCTGCATTGTGGCTTGAGGCCCTACCTTAGGAGGGAGGCTGGGGAGAACAGGGAGATGCATTTCTAGTCTTCCCCTGGACTCCAAGTTCACCCCGCAGGGCAGGACAGATGGGGCAAGTGGGTGAGTCCTATGAATTTGAACCAAATGCACCAAGCAAATGGGATTCCAGCAGCCAGAGTCCTTTGTATCCTCTTTGTTGGTTAAATTCAGTAAACAATGTTTTGGCCCCTAAAATGATCCAAGTTCTGAGGATACCAAAAATAAATAAGACCAATTTCTTGCCCTTAAGGAGTTTATAGAAGAAACAGACATAAGTATATTTAATTTCACAGCAAGCAAAATCTCTGCTCATATTTTAGATGTACAAGAAATATTATTTCTTACTTTTTTCTGTAACTAAATGTAAGTAATATTTTAAGTGCCCATTTTTGCAGAGTGATAGCACACCAATCCCAATACATCTGTTATTTTCCCTGTTACCCCTGGGGTTGGGGATAAGTGCTAGGGGTTTTCTATGGTGCCAAGAAATTGAGCAAGGAGACATCCATGCCTCATCTCTCTCCACTCACGTCTTCTGAGCCAACCATCATTCTTGCCAGGTCTTCACATCTGGCCCAGCTGTGTCACCACCACTTGTCCCTTGTCCCATTTGTGAAGTCCCTTAGGGGCCAGGGCAATGCTTCATTCCTTCTCTGCCTCTCTCGGACACTCGGGTGTCACTGCTGTTCCCATCCCACACTGGGTGTGGGAAATTCCGAGAAATGATCTAAGACTCTGTCTACTTATGTTTTTAACTGAAATTGCTGGCATCTCTCCACCAATCACAGCACTGCCTATGGTGGCAATGGGCATATCAAGTTGACATTTCAGAAAACATCCTGAATCTTCCCAGAGGGAAAATAAAACATGCCTCACATAAAAGCTTGGAGAACAGAATGTCATACAGCTTCTCAATTGCTACACTATGAAGCAATGCTTTCCGAATCAAGGCAAAATGGCTTCCAGCCTAGAATTCTATACCTAGCTAACCTGTCAATGAAGTGTGAGCTTGGAGTTGTGGGTCTTCATGTGCGGAAGCCTTGGGATGCTTCTTCCCAGGCATTCTTCCTCAGGAAGGCCTCAGGAGACACACAGTTGAGTGCAATCATAAGCCAGAGGAGTGGAGGACAAGAAATGGGAACATACGGAATCAGGATGGAAGAAGGAGGACATGAATTCACAGGACAGAATGACGGAGGCCTCGGGTGAGAGCTAAGCCACAGGCCTCGGGAACAGCCTGGCCCAGGTGGCAGCAGGGCAGCCAAGGAACCACAAGAGGAACAGCACTGATGACAGTAACAGCAACAGGCTACATACAACTGACCAAGCATAGAATGTGCCTGGACTTGTTCCAAGGAAATGTTCATTTCTGTGGAAGATGTT